CTGCATGTATCGGAAGGGTAACCTGGGCACGGCCGATATCCGTACCCGGGGGCAGTCTCCGGTTTACCTCGGTGATGATCTCGGTTGACAAGTCTGCCTGAGTATTTTACTGGACACCTCAACCGGCCTTGATGCTTCTCGTGGATTCCGTGATCCCGTGGCACCTGATTAGACCCAATACAAGTTCACAAACGGCGCTAGCCGCAAGGTGAGGCCTTCGGCGCTTGCGGAACGACTTGAGCCTATTACGGCAGAGCTACAGGATGAGCTTCCAGGAGTCGGAAACTAGCGAAGAAATAATTCTCGCGCAACCTCCTATTTTCACTTTGACGACGATTTCCTAAAGAACGTTCGGGAGCAAATTGGTGAAAGAAACCGAAAATCAGGCCGATCAAAGTGAGATCCTCGTGGAAGCTCCGGACAGGAGCGGCGGAACTCGCTAATCGCGACGAATCCTTGCTGCTACGGATCTTTTCCAGCGTGAAATCCATGGCGAGCGAGCCTCCATCATAGCTCAGTAAGCTTCTACGGGATGTATCTTCTGCTTCATTTGGGAAGGGGTCACGATCATGCCTAGAATATCCATCGATCGCTTCGTCGATTCAAGCAGCCAGATGTGGTCAACTCAATATCTGCCATTGAAATTGAGTCCGAGCGAGCGAGCAAGCAGCAGGGGAAGAACAACTTATCGGCGTGCTGTAGCTGGCGCTGGTAGTAGTGGCGGTGATATCGCTGCGTAGCTTCCCACAACCTATTGCCGCGATCCTCCCGATGCACAATAGACTTCGGATTTCAAAAGAGATTTCTGCTCTCGGTGGAGTCCCTCGTTTGCTCCATTGTTCCTTTAGAATCACACGAACTCGGAGCAACATCATATGTTGGCTTGCTCCAAGTGCTTCGCTGGCTGCTGCCGGCGCTCCCGCTGCCCTTAGAGCTGAGCGGCCGTCGAAAGCGAGCGGCTCGGCAAGCGAGCGATCGTTCATGATTTTTATATGATGCGCGTCCTTCCCTCTGAAACTGAAACGATTTTCCGTTCTCGGGAGTCGTGGACCCTTTTGTTCGCCACATTTCGCGCTACGGTGAACCCGTACTCTGCGGCCGTCGACCGATGAGCGGAGGGAGCTGCAGCACTATCGTACATGTGATCGGCATGTCGACCACGTGAGGAAGTCCCGCTTCGCCCAATCTTGCTTTTTTCCCTGTTCGATTCCACGGCGATGAATCAGGAAGGTGTCTCGAGAGCTTTCGGGCGATTCGATTTATTGAAAAGTGCAGATTCGTGTTTGATGCATCAACGATCCTGAATTGCGGCATCCAGAGCTTCCTTAAAGAGAGAAGAGAGCGGATACTATGACGCAGTAAAACGATCTTTAGCTGTGAGTGCCCAAGTGGATAGTTCAAAGGAGGCCACAGACACCAGCGTCCGATGAGCCGGTATTCTTTTGACGCTCGATTTTCAAGCAGTTTTCCAGCCTTTGTTGCGTTCCGAGGACGCCGCCGCCCGACGTCAGCTCCCATTCTCAAGTACCCGAATCGATTTTATCGCTCCTTTCTACCTTCAATCAATCGTATGCAACAAGATCTTACTTTCTGCTGCGACTGGATATTGACATCCTGTTGCACTCCCGAGTCGACATTCCCCGTGTTGACGACCGGAAACTCCGCTGGGTTCCCGCGGAAAATTACAGCATCTACCTCTGGATTTTCAAAAAAGATGTCAAGCCCCCGATCACTGATCTGGTGATCCGCAGCGCCCGGGAGCCTATTTGTTCCTCGACTGCTCAGCACGAACAGCACCCCATCCTTAGCGCTCACGGGGAATAGCCGTCTTTCAGGTGGGAGCGTCGGCTGCCATTATCGTGTTTGTTGCTCCCTGTTCTAATGATTGTCCGAGTACAAAAGTAAATATCGATAAGGAGAAAAGGAGGAGAAATAAGAGATCCTCGTGTCTTACGAGTCAGGGAGACGAGGGTACTTGGATTGCAAACCAAACGAATAGACGTCAGACGGCGTATCGTCTCTCTTTGATTGTCTTGAGTACTGTGGAGTGGCAAGCGTGCGGCTTTTTTGAAAGAAAGCTCTTTCTGACTGTCGCTCTTCCAACAAAGAAACTATCCGCTTGTCAGAAGGATTCTTCATTTTTGTGCCGTTTAAGAGCAAATGTCCCAAGTCCATTTTTTCCGACGGCATTGATGAAAGCTCAGGCCCTTGTTGTTGACGATGTTGAATGGCTATTTTCTAGCTACGTCTTTCAAGCTACGAAGCACTGGGCGAAATGGACGCGATCGGAATTATGGTCCAGGCAGGCTCACCCTTGCTCCGGAAGTTAGGGATTTAGGATCCGTAAATACTGTGTCGCGATTCGCGATGAAGTTCAATGACGCTGGGGAATTACCCGGGTCGACGTTGCGCTTCACGGTCTTCCCTTAGTAGATCACGCTACGAGCTAAGCGCATCACCCGAAGAGTTCTAACCGGAGGAAGACGACGCTCTCGTCGAGCCTTTATACTTCTGCTCGCTTCGGGAATAATCAGCTGCTCGGAACGTTTGGTGGATCCCGAATTAATTCAGCTGGCTCCCTCGGCACGAGACCGCCTCCTAACCCCGCAGTCATCATCGTTGTCATCCTCGCTGTCGTCGTTGTGTTTGTCGCCAGCTCCCCTCCTTTTTCATTTGCGTGACAATAAAAAGCAATCCCCGGCAGGCTTGCCTTCTTCTTATCAGAGCGAGCAACTGCAAAACGCTCCTCCACCACATGCTGCGGCTCCGGCGGCTTGCTCAACAATGCAAGCCAATGCATTTTGGCCATTCGTGAACTTGATTCTTTGTCACTTACATGCTCAGTGATTGTCGCCCCGAGGAAACGCTCCTTCAGAGTCGCTGAATGTTGGTTTTAGAAGCGACTCTATTCGGATGCTCGGGCTTTTGCTCACCTGCTTGCCTCTTACTCGCTTCGCTGTCTCCCGCACGATTGTCAAAGCCAGCAGCAGAGTAACCTCCTGACGCATTTAGGTAAGATGACAGTCCAGAGGGAGCATCTCGAGAATCGATGCGGGCTGACCTACCTGCGTATATGCAATCAATGTCGCAGGGCGAAACCCGGTCTCGGGAAGCGGGGAAAAGGGGACAGTGTAGTCCTTCGGGGCGAGGGGGGAGCGGAGGTCCTGTGTCGTCTACTTGCGATGAGATTGCAACCCGCAACCATGGCCAAATGACTCCCTTGAACTTGAGCTCCCGTCCCGTTTGTGAATTTTGGCAAGAGGGCGTTATACCCTCTCTGAGAATGATTTCCCGAATTAGGATATCGATGCCCAGCAGCTAGAAGACGGCTCGATTCCGTTCTGGTCATACAACGACGAGAAGGTCTGAAGTCGATACTCCAAGGATGGTTGAAGGGAAAAAAATCCTCCGTGATATTCGTTCAGGGTACATATCCATTTTATTGGTCAGCGACATAATTTATTATCCTTTTCTTCGGCAGAACAAGTCAAGATGGACGATCCAGCCCATCGGCGAATCTCATGTCCGGTGTAGTATCTGAATCCAGACACTCCCGTGGTAGCTAAGAGGGTTCATCATTTCCCTAGAATGAGTTCGATCTCGATGATTGGAGAGATCTTGGGGACATTCCTCGGCCCCGGGCAAGAACTAGTCGGCGTGGTTCGCAAATGCCCTCTGACGGAAGGAGTGAGTAACACCCCATTCCAACCGTTGACGGTCCCCATTCCCCATCAACGAGATTTATATCTATGGCAGAGAAGTCCCCCCCTCCCCTTCAGAACAAACCTCAATTTCCTTGAAAATCACGAGATCAAGACCTATAAGTACTTGTTTAGCCCAGTCTTCCGCTGATTATGTGTACACATGTGGAGATATTGAACTATGTATCTACGGACGCGGCCCGCAGTCAACGATGCGTTGGCTCACTTGTGCGTCAACTCTACGGTCGTTCAATTCGTTCAGCCGCCACAATCGCTATCGACCAATTGACGACCGCTGTCAACCCCTCTAATTATATGCACTTGATCCTTCAACAGGACTCGGAAGGTGTCGCGTCGTTTACATTTCGATGTAGACCGAGACGAAAACCGCGCGGAGCAACTTTTCCATTACACAGAGCCTTTTCGTCTCCATGCTTCGCTTTTCGAATGGGAATCGCAGATATCCGGGAGCTTCAGCTAGACCGCGACGCGCTATACGCAGTAGCCCTACGAGAGCTTATCGGCCGTAGCGTGGGCGGTGATTCGACCTCGCGCTCGGCAGCTGCAGGCTCGTTTTCAGACGCATACCCCGCCGACATGCTGCTACCGAACAAAGCACTTGAGGAGGATCGATTCTGGATATGCCGACGAGCTTCACGGGGGACGTGGGATCTGCTGGTTCTGGTGACGAGATCGAAGAATCGTGAACTTATGGACGGATCCGACGAAGAAGAGTCCGCTCGATGAAGTCGAGCTGCTCAACTGCGGAGGGCAGATTGGCCCCCTATATGCCTCGCTTCGGGACGTCGTGCAGATGGTCACTTCGGGAAGGCGAACTCATCGGAGACGATGGTAGGTATTCATCTAACGTTCGACTCATGAAATTCTCGAAGACATCAGATGTGGTGCCACAATCAACGTTTATAGAGTAGTTCTGCCCTGCTCTTCCACTGCCGCGCCGTCGTTCGATCTACTGCGCCACCAGATCCAGCAAATCCCACGTCCCATTGGCAAGAGCACATCATCTCCGAAGTCAATCCTTTCTTCGCTTTGTTCGGAAAAGCGGCCTCGGCAGGGCGCAGATCTCTAAGCGGCGAAAGCGTGCGCACGGAGAAGCGGGGTAGGGGGTCCGGCCCGGGCGAAACCCTCGAAGGGCGGCGTCGTCGAGTCTGGCACTCAAAAAAACTGGAGGTTCCTCGGGGAGTTTCCGGCGAACGAGGACGTCATCGTCGACCACGGAAAAAAACTGGAACTCCCCGGGGAAGATTTGGCATTTAACGGCGTTTTGAACTGCCCCGTTCAGAAAAAGGGGAACTTCCGATCACCGCTTAGGACGGCATGGAGAGGATGCACGACACTGCAATACGGGACTCTGGAGAAATTCAAGGGTGCCACCGCCTGTTGCCTCATCTTCGCTGCGTCATCGGCCATTAGCCATGGGCGAAGGATTTCGCCTTTGTTCTTCGGTCCGGTGGCCAGGTTGACAGCCGTCTCGGCTCCGACCGAGACGGTCTCCATCTTCTGACAAGGGGGAGGCGTGGGCAGAGCATCCATACCGTAAACCCCGAATGCGCTTTTTCCGAGAATCATTTCCATGAGCAGAGGATGCGGAGGAAGTCCGTTCGAGGGAATGAGTCCCAGAGGTTTCGAGTCGAAGCTCGAGGGCGGCATCGGGGGGGTAGATGCGGGGGGTGAAGATGCGGCGTTGTGCGCAGGTTGACCTCCATTCGCGGAAGTCTGGTTGGGTTTCGGTCTTCTGCGCGGTCGGTACTTGTAATCCGGATGTTGCACCATGTGGATAGAGCGAAGTCGTTTAGCCTCATCGATGAAGGGTCTTTTCTCAGCCTCTGAGAGGGCCCGCCACTCGCTTCCGAGCCGCTTCGAAATCTCTGAATTGTGCATCTTCGGGTTCTGCTGAGCCATCTTGCGACGTTGGCCTCGAGACCAGACCATGAACGCGTTCATCGGACGCTTGACGTGTTCACCTTCGTCTGTTGTCGTTGTGAACGAAGTCATTCTGTCCGAGCTGAGCGGGTAGGGACGAGTTTTCCGGCACAATGACGCTCCGAGCAAATTATGTTGAACTTTTGTTTTGTGTCACACACGAAAGCCACCTGTGCACCGAGTGAGAGCCGGTTGACGTGTGAACGATGTTCGTTTAACCACCGGATAGTCGCCTCAGGAGCATTTGGATTAGGCTCCTCCTCTCAACGAAGACGCTCCGCCTTGCTTGGCGCATGCGTCCAGCTTGCCAATGGCCAATAGACGGAGTGTGTTGGGAGCCTTTTGTCGAAAGAATTTATTGTGAACAACAACACCAACAGCTACCGCAGCAGCGCACTGGGCAAGCGGCAGTTTGTTGCTTCTTGGCAGCGGTGCCGCTAGGGGCAGCTGATTTGTTCGTTCTGCGACGATGCGGTCCTCTTGTCTCGCCGCCCAGCTGCGATTCATTGAGCTACCCGACTTGTCCAATGAAGGAGGGAATAATTTCTAAACGAATCATCCTCATTCAGCTCAATCCTTTCACTCTTCTTCTGATCGCTTCATGAAGTGCCATTGGCCTTCTTACCCTCAGGGTCAACTCACGTCTCTCTGGTCCTATCCAATATGGAGCTGCGTGCCAAGCCGAAACAGGTTCATCAGGTTCGCTGTTTTCTTTTGGAATGGGAGGAACGAATGACGACTGCTACATTATATACGGGTATGTCCGGAGTTTTCACCTTGGTCTGAATTACAGCTGCCGTCAGCTCCGCTTGCCCGAGCCGCAAGCTTTCACCGTCGAGGGCACCATGCCCAGCCCCGGTCAATTCTTTGCGGGTTAATTATCGGGATTCATGATGAATGAAGAATGAAGACTGATCTCACTGATGACCACAGACAACGCTCGTGCGACGCTTAGAGCCAATGACAAAAAATCCCCTCGAAGATCCATGGAGTGTCACCGAAGACATGGTAATGTTGTCGAAAGCGGATATTCGATCCAGTCTTGTTGAATTCCATAAATTTCGTGAGTTTTCTCCAATGACGGTGACTTCTATCAATAGTTCGTCAGTCGAGTTCGGTTTTGCTTGACGTTAAAGATTTCGATAGTCTGCGGTATAAGTTCACACGGGGAGCGCACACGAGAAATGATGATTGACAGTGATTCTCGTGTTCTCGGGAGGCGGACTGGTGGTGGAATGTCATCCCTAGGTCAATTTATGTGGGGAGCACCGCCTGAAGGGAGCTCATTGAATATGCGAACGAATTCAAGGAGTGCCATCCCAGATGGAATGGCCCTATTCACTTCCGTCACACTTAGTAATTTCCGTGGCAGTTTCAAGACGATCGAGTGTCGAGTGTCGAGCAACTATGAGCAGAAGGTCTTTATTTAATGCACTCTTGATTGATGATATTCGGAAAAGTTTATGGACACAAGGCCAAATTTCCGTTGTCGAGAAAGAGATGGTGTTGCATTGCCGCTGCTTGCATCTTCCAGGCGAGAGCGGACCGGATCTTGGTTTCAGAGGTCGGCTGAGACGGATGATCAATGAATTAAAGGGCTCAGGGAGTCATTGAGGATCCCGCGCAGCGAAGTCTGAGCGTCTTGGACGCGGGACGTTGAGGCTTCAATGTTGGTCGCCGCTCGCCGCATTGAATTAATAACGCTGTCGTATTGAGCCAGAATCCGTAGAGAGGCAGAGCTCAGGGAGGCCTAGAGACTCGAAACTGAAAGCCCCCTCGATTTTCCGATTCGGTTCCTCTGAGAGCATCTTCCGTGCTCCGAGTTCAATACTTCTTCGCTGAATAGGCTGTATCAGACGATCCTCATCCCTGGCTTCGCACGACTCGCTCTGGAAGAACGAAACGCGCCGCCAGATTGCTGCTGGGGAGAGGGGATGGGGTCATCTTTCCTATTATTTCGAGCTTAGTAGGAAAAAACGTCGCACAGTGGTTCAGAATCGACTGAAAGTGGAAAAAACTGGAAACTTCAGATTCCTGAGAAAATCGCTCTCAAAATTCGGCTGGCAGAAGCGCCCGACGTGGACTGACCGATTTGAGCACCAATCGGCCAGATTGAACGACTCCAAGATGTCTGTCCAGCAGAACAGCGATTCCGCTTTAATTTCACTTTAGCTACTTGATCTATTTTTTATTCAGTTCCTTCCACGTCTGAACAACTGAGCGTCGCCCTCTGTCTATTCTCCTTGGGGAAGACACGTTTTTTCAATATGCAGAACCTTGGAGTTTCGCTCCTCAAGAATGCCCCAGGATAGTGCCGCCCGAGGCAGGACAGACCCCCTCCTTCCGCGTGATCACGCAAATAGCGCTGACGTGCCGGTGATTTCTATCATCTAAGCTCCGTACGCGACGCAGGGCTCGGCATTTGGCATGCTTGGGAGCTCGCAGAGATCCGCCATGCGTCGGCGTCGCGTTTCTCTCGACTTATACATACCTAGTCTGCTCCATAAATTGGGGAGTTTTGGAATCCTCGGCCGGGAAGCTTAGGAGTATCGCGAGGCTAGTCATTAGTGGAATACGCGCGGGGAGGCATGATGCATGATCCATCGTCCGAAGATCCTCTCGAAGAGGTCAAGAGCATCTCCCGATCATCCTTTGAGATAACGGCTCCTCGAGCTGGCTCTGGCGACGGATGCGCCTAGATAGCCGCGTGTCTCTAGCAAATCAAGACTGGATGCTCCGTTGGCAGGGCAGTACACCCGGTACCAGATCCGAGGCTGAAGACTCCGCGAGAGAATTTCAGAAACTTCACAGTGATTCGGGCCTGGAGGCGTCTTCACACCTTCAACCTGGAGCTCGGCTTATACAAGAGCTTCGTCTACTTCGAATGCTGAAACGGTGAAAATTCGCCGGAACCGAGGCGAGGGCGGGAACAATGGGGCTTTGAGTTTTTTCATCCGGGCGTTCCTTTTGGAAATATCGGTGTGTCTCTCCTCGACGATTCCGTCGTGCATGTTCGCACGTAGCTCGAGAGAACCGAGCCTGGCACCCAGCTCCGTCGATGAGCTACCGTCTTGCGGGGAAGCGCGAAAGAAATCGGCCCCGATCCGCTCTCGATCTATTCCAATACTCAACTCAGTCTCCAGTTCGAGAATAAACTACAGCTCACTCAGAAAGGACGGCGATTCTGAGTTCGCTTTTCGCAATAGAACCGCATCGAGCTTCGATCTCCGATTCTCCCATATGTCCTCAAAAGTCCGAATCGTCAAGTCAGCTTATTCTACTACTCGATTACGGAAAGAAAACGTAACAGAATGGAACAGGCGAGTTAGGAGCGCGCTAGCTATCTGGCTACCCGGCGAGACGGTCGGTAAGTACGAAAGCGAACCGACAGACAAACAAATATACCTTAACAAACAATAGATCGTTTGAGCGTCGGACGCGTGGGATGTTGGTGTCGGTCTCTTCACTCGTCCACCTCCTACTCTTCCCCAGGAGCCATTCTGACCTAGCCACAGCGGCGGTGGCGATTCGCGTTGTGACGGTCTCCCCGTTCGCTGAAGATTCCCGCCTGAGGTTTTCAAAATTTTCTCGACGCCTCTTCCCTGCGAGACACCTCGCATTGGTAAAAATTCTCAAATGGATATAAGAAATCACTCAACGGCGGCATCAAGCGTCGGTGGTTGGACCGGTCGCAGCAGCTACAATCGCCACTGCCGACGGGAGACGATAGCTGACGCCGCCGCCGCCACCGTGGTCACCGCGGGCCGGTGAAGATTTTCTATCCCTCGTCTCCGCAGTCCTCCACGACGACAGTACGACTTGTCGATCAGGGGTCGTTCTCTTGGTCGTCGATTGTTTTCAGCCTGGACAGCGGACCAGCCGGGTAAGGAATAGTACCACGCTCTCGGCAAACGGGACGCCACGGCCGCAAGCCACGAACGTCGACCGTCTTCCAGTCGTTCTCGCATTGAGTGTTTGATCTTGAGTAATCCCATTCGAGCCAACTTCCTCACCTAGTCATTAGAGGTCTGGCATGCACACAGGACCCTCGGAGATGGAGAGCGCGGAAGCTCGCCCTCTTAAGCTATAGCCATGGGAAAATTTGAAATAGGAATCCCGGAGCTCACCGCGAAATAATTGATTCGTACTTCCTGATTGGTCGAGGCGAAGTGGGGACAAGGATCAATCCATGACAGGCGAGTCTCCCTCCACAAGAGAATCAAGTGATTCGGATGGGACCTGCTCGGCTGTTTCCCTTGTTTCGGGCCCATCGCGGACCTACCGATGTCATTGCGCTCATTCCGATCCGAGACGTCAATGGCGACCGCAGCATCGCACATATAAATCCTCCCATCGCCGCAGCATCCATCCCATGAGGCTTGACGCCCCCATAATTGTTCCGGAGCTCGACAAGGATTCTTAGTTCTCGTCTCCTGCAGAATTCGCCCTTTTGGGTTCAAATCCATTCGGGTCCAAGGGATGTAGAGCCCGTTCTCATATAGTGTACTCAACGCTGAACGAACAAAGATTATGCCGGCGTTCCCGAATTCTCCGCACGTAGACTCGTATAAATTCCTCTGGTATGTCCGGAGTTCTCATCCCTCCTTGAAATTTGACAGCAACATTATTTCTGGCGGTTTCCCAATGGTCAAGATAACCACAGCATCTGGTCTTAGACTCAGACGAAATTTCAGCCGATTCCGAAGTTAGTCATAATGGAAGGGAGACCATTCTTTCGACCACATCTCACTCCGTTTGTACCAGCAGCGACATCACAAGAAGAAGGAAAAAGAGAAAAAAAGGAGAAAAATCGTCCCATAATGTGGTATTGTACCATTGTGTGAATAAGGTATGGCTGTGGTGCTGCTCCCGCTGACGGCGTTCGCTACAGCGACCGCATCATCAGCGTCACTACTACTGACCAATGAGAAATTCAGCCGACTACGCAACTAAAAATCGTCAGAGAGAAAGAAAATATGAATAGAATTGAGAAAAAACTATAGATGGCTTGCTGGGTCGGTCAATGGCTAGCCAGCTAGCTTGCGCGCTCGCTTGATGGAAGCGAAATGGGC